GGATGAAATTCCCTGATTTGCTGGGAGAGATTTTTAACAAGGTTGATGTAAGCCAGTGGAAAAAGACAAAGGGAAGCACTTCAGGGTCTGTTTCAGTACAGGAGTCAGAGGCGGTTTGGAGATACTGGAAGTGTTAATAGAATTGATCAGAGCCTTAGGAAAGCACTGTCCTGTTTCCCTGGAGCTCTGCCCTGCTCTGCTGGGTGCTGTTCCTCAGCTGTGCTGGGATGGAGAAAGCCTCATAGACCCTGCAAACTCTGAGAAAGCTTCATAGAGTCTGCAATCAAATCCCAAGGAGTTAATTGCTACTAAACCGTGGTAATGAGTTGTGAATGATGTGGTAGAACCCCGATCTTTGATCAGTTCTAGGGAACATTTGATTTCTCTGGGTGTATGTTCTTCTCTAAATATTCAGCACTGAGTTCTTCATCTCAACCTTGGAGTAGTAGCAGGTTTTTTTTCTTTCTCATTTGTGTTTCCTTATAGAAAGGGAGGGGGAGTGTGAGACAGAGAGCCTGGAAGATGAAGGCTTTAAACATAAAGGGATTGTTTTGGGATGGAGCTTTCCCTTGTGTGTGTTCACCATTAAAGACGACATTTTTGCCCGGTAAATTGGACCCACGCCTGCCTGCCTTCAAAAAAAACCTACCATGCTCTTCTGCTTCATGGTTTTGAGTCTCTGATACTTTTGAAATGAAGCCTAAAGATCCTCCAAAGAGGATAACACAGCCTAATGGAAAGAATAATGCAAGCGAGAACCCATCTGAAATGACAGCTGTGAGCCTGGTGCAGCTTCTCGGGCTGATCAAAGCTGCTGGGAACTCTGTGTGAAAAGGGGGGATCAGCCCCAGGAGCTCTGTGTGAAAAGGGGGGATCAGCCCCTGAGAACTGGGCTTGAAAAGGGGGGATCAGCCCCAGGAACTGGGCTTGAAAAGGGGGAATCAGCCCCCCAGCTCCCTTCCCCACTCAGCCTGCACATGAATTCATATTCCAGCCTTTGCATTTCTCTCCTGGGAGATCCAGAGCCCCTCCTGCAGGGCTGGGGTTCAGGTCAGCACTGGGGAGCACCAGGGGTGTAAGGAGTGAAGTGCTGGGGGGCAAAGGAACCTCTGGGCTCGATGCCCTCAGCACAGAGACCCCCAAAAGAGCCAGCACAGACCAGTCTGGTGCTCGTGTGTGAGCACTCCAAACTCCCCATGAGCACAGAGCCACGGGGTTGCTGCTTAGGTGCAGTTTCATGGTGGCTTTTACTTAATTCTCCATGCCTGTTCCATGATTTTGGCTATTTTCTGAAGCCAGGTGGTGATTTGGGCATCTCAGCTTCCATTTCCTTGTTTTAAATCCCTTTGCTCGTTGCTGAAGTCTGAACATGCAACCTCAGGTGCCCAAGTGCTTTGGCCATTTAAGAAGAAATTCTTTGCATGATATTTTTTGATGTAAGGACTAATTTTGTGATGTGTCCTTTTTTTTTGGGTTGATTCCTGTTGTCTGACTGGTTGTCAAGGATAGGGTTGTGTGTGCTTTGAGGATGTAAGATTTTTGGGGTCTGCAAAGGCTGATGAGAGCAGGAGTCAGTGATTTCCCTTAGAGCCAGAGCTGCAGGAAGGGGTGCAGATGGTTCTTGGGTTATTCCCTGGTAGCCAAGCCCAGGCTGGAGGGCAGGAGAACTCAGTGATTGAAGAAGGAATGGTCCCAGCAGAGCAGGAGATGGAGCAGGGCAGAGATCTGTGAGCCCCTAAAGCCCGTGTGAACACTGCCCTGCTCAGCAGCACTGTGCTTGCCAGATTTGTTCACAAAGCCCCTGGAAATGTGCTGAATCCTGGGCTCCCACTGCAGTGCCCAGAGCAGGGCACTGTGTGTGTGCTCCAGCCCCAAGTGCTGTGCAGGGCTGTGCCATCCTGGGATCCCCTTCTCCCAAACTCACCTTGGAGAGACAGCAACAGCCATGGACCGAGTCTGGGAGCTCAGGGCAAAGAACTTAACCCAGATCTGTCCATCTTCCCTCACTGCTTCACTGTTTAAAGTGAAACTATTGATGCAGGAAGCAGGAAAATTTATCTGTGAAGAATTGCACTTGGAACGCTGGTTTTGGCTCATTCTGAGCAATGAGAGAGCATGAAATTGCTGTGAATCCTCAGGGCTTTCCTGGACAGTGTGTGAGCCCAGAGCAAAGCGTTTATTGTAAAATACCTTCTAATTGCAGTGCTTAAAGTGGGCGCTGCTGGCTTTGCAATGGCTCTGGGCTTTGTTTCCTCTGGGCAGCTGTGGGCACACAAAGCACAGGGGTCATTTCAGCAGGAATCAGGGCTTTAAACAAACACTGGGAATGAGCTGAGCTCTCCCTCCACCCTTGTGATTTTCCAGGTGACTTGAGAAGCCTCAGAGGGTGCGGGGCTGGTGCTGGCCATGCTCCTGATTGTCCAGGGTGGGACCCAGGGGTGCTGCCATCCGTGCTCCCCTTGGCTTCCAGGCACCCATTGCTGGCACCCAGTCAGCTCCGAGCTGCTGGTTAAAATGAGCTGGGAGCAAAGGGGCTGCTGGCACCCCACAGCCCACTGTGCTCCTGGGGGTGCCCCCACAGCAGCATCCCCAATGCCATTGCTGTCTCCTGGGGATGCCTGCCCTTCCCAGGCATTGCTGAGGGGCACTGGGGCTGTTCTCTCACTCTGCTGGCCACAAATTCTCCTCGCTGGGATCCCTGTCGGGCAGAGCAGGGTGGTGTCAGCTGCCCATCTCTGCTGAGGTGGCACAGTGGTGGCACAGTGAGCTGGCACAGTGCTGACACAGTGGTGGAGGTCACACAGCATTAGTGGCTCAGCAGCAGGGACAGGGCAGCTGCTCCCAGCTGAGCCAGCCCGTGGACGTGGTGCCTGGTAAAAGGGCATTTTAGCAGGGCATCGATTGCTTTCAGAGGGCTGGATTGATGGGGGATCCTCCAGAGCTGGAGCCATCCTGTGAGCGTGTCAGTGAGGGGTTTGGCCAATGCTGACAATCAATCCCAGTTTCCATCCCTGCTCGCCTGCCTGCGGCGCTCCCGCACGGAGAGCAGCGCTCACTCTGGAGCTGTTTGGAGTGCCGTGTCTCAGGGATGCTTTTATCTCAGAACTGGGATAAAAGCTTTCTGCAGGGGCGCAGGGATTAATTTTTCACACATCTGTCCACTGGAATGCAATAAGGGAGCCTTTGTTCGGGCTCTTTCCGTGGAGCGCCTCCTCCACCCTTGTTATTTCACTCTTCTTTTGCATGGCAAAACTTTTTGTCCTGCATTTCAAATAGATCCTGAGTGTCCCTGGCAGCTGAACAAGAGAAACAAACTTTCCAGCCCTGTTTTTTGTGCTGTTCTCAGGGGATGCTTGGTGATTTGAAGGGTATTTGATTGGTTTTGGCAGAGGCGCTTTATTCCATGGAAAATCCACAGCTCCTATGGATGGTTTAGGGAGCCCCTGGAGCCTCCAAATGAGAGATCTGTGGGTGGCCAGCTGGTGGTGGAGGTGCCATGGGAACACTGAGGGCACTGCTCTTGGGCCGTGGTGGGCAGGGAGGGACAGGGGACAGTGCCAGCTCTGCCTGGCGCAGTGGGAGGGCCAGAGCTTGGCCCAGACATGGCTCTGCATGGAAATGAAGCCCCAGAGCCTCAGCCCTTGTCCTGCACACGCTTTCCTTGCTCTTTGGAGGGTGGTTTTACTCCTGACACCAAAGTCCTCCCACTCCAGCCCTAATCATGTGTGGGGGGACCCAGCCAGGGCTGATGGCTCCATCCAGTGAGAGGGAGTTTAGCACTCGGGGTTACAGCATCCCCCAGTGTGGATGTGCTTCCCCACATCCCACTCCACAGAGGTGTAGCAGTTTCCAGCTTCACCAGAGGGCCACGCTGCCTGTGCAGTGCTGCTCTCTGAGGAGCACCACCCTGAGGATGCTCTGCATACATTTACCTGTGCTATGTTTTTTTCCCCCCAACAGCCCTATTACCATATTTAAATGCAAGTATGTCTTTTTTTGATTGATGTTTTAAGTAGCTTCAAGTTATTCTAGCCTAGTGCTCTGCTTGGCCTGGTAGCTGAGCTGTAGCTGAGCCATAGTGCTGGAGGTAGTGGGCTGTAGAGTGCTGGGCTCTCTCTCTCTTCTCTTTCTCAGTGCCTCAGTTCTCTCCTGTGGTTCCTCAGCCTTGCAAAGCAGCTGTGATCGTGGTCGTGGTGCCCACCAAGGACCAGGTTCCACTGTGGTGGCCACCCCAGGCTTGTCCTGTTGGGTGGCAGGAGCAGTTGGAGCCCCCAAGGACCAGGAACCTCCCTGGCGTCACTGACCTTGGGGTTTGGGGCTCATTGCCTGGACTTTGCCATTGCCTTCTTAAAATACACATATTGAAAGTCAGAATCTCTGGCAGATCTTTTGAATGTTAATTAAGTAAATCTTGCTGGCAGCATTCCATTCCTCTGCGAGGGCTCGGTTCCCTGGAGCAGGGGGGATGTCATAGAGCTCCTTGGTCTGCGACTGGTTTGCTCTCAAGAGCTTTTTCCTTCTTTCTTTCTTTCCTTCTTTACTTCTTTCTTTCTTTCTTTCCTTCTTTCTTTCTTTCTTAAACCCTATTCCATTGAATTTTTTCTGCTTTATCCCAGCAAATTTGTGATCTTGACATGAGGACCTCCTCATCTGTTCCATTCCTGCTTTGTCTATAGACCAGCACGTTATTATCACCTGCAAATAAGCCTGGAGGAGAATTCCCTGGCTGTGTGTGGAGCGGGCTGACCCTGTTCCTGCAGGAGCATGGAGGCACGAGCTGAGAGCTGCAGGCTGTGCCTCCAGCCTGTCCTCCTTGGCTCCAGGCTGTGCCATGGCCGTTCCTCCTGTGCCCAGGGGATTTGTGCCAGCAGCGGGCACTGGCCAGGGCTGGGCTGTGCCCAGGTGGCACAGAGAGCCAGGCTGGCAGCTCCAGGTGCCCTCAGGGACTCGTGGTGCCCACTGGCCTGTGTCTTTACCCTTCTCCTTTTCTCCACGGCCAGGTTTCCCAGCAGCGGCTTACGGACCAGTAGCAGCGGCAGCCGTGGCGGCAGCAAGAGGATCAGGTAGGGGGGCCCGTGGAAGAGCAAACCCTCAGAGTGCAGGGTCAGGTAAAAGCTCTGTCGGTATTCTGTGTGGCTGCAGCTCTCCATCATTTCTCTGATTTTCCTCACACTTATCCTGGGGACCTGAAAACAATCAATCAAAATGAAAAAAATTAGAGAAAAAATAAGTAATCAATCCCAATCCAAACCCAAACTACAAGCAGAGGCCACGGGGGCTGGAGCACCTGCAGGAGATTGGCATGAGAACTGCCAAAACCAGGGTAGATATTCCAATTTGTTTCTTTCTTTATTCCTTTATTGCGTTGGTTTCTTTATTTGTTGGGTTTAAATTCGAGGCTCTAAAAGACACCCCAAAAAAAGATCTATTTGTGTTTTCAGAAAAAAAGTTTTGGTTTCTCGCAGGAAGCTGGGGTTGGGTTGAGGTGGTGGCAGCAGCTCTGAGTGCTCCCGCCGTGCCCAGAGCCGCTGTCACCTCCTCCACCATGGCCAGCACGGGGCTTCTTGGGCTGGCATCACTGGTGCCATTGTCACCAGTACACAGCTGACAGTTCACCATCCCTGCCTGCTCCCACCCCGCCGCTTCCATGAGGAACCACAAAGCTTTTCTTCTGTCCTTCTGAAAACTCTTTACTTTTTTTTTTTCCCCTTAAGGGAAACAAAGAATTAAATCGTTGCCAATTGCCGTTGCTGCCTTAGGTTTAAATTTTGTAAAGAAGTGAATCAGCACTTGGCTCAGGTGGCAGAGCTGAGAGCAGCCCTCAGTGAGCCGCGGGCTCCCGCAGCAGGCCGCGATGGAGCCGCTGTGGGATGGAGGCGCTGCCAGCCCCGTGTCCCCTGTGCCAGCGTGTCCCCAGGGAACACGGGGCTGGCAGCGCCTCCCAGCTCACTCGGGGCTGCGCTGGGCGCTCGTGGCTCTTCGGGCAGTGCCAGCTTAAGGAGGCAGGCGCTCCCGAAAAGCCCCGAGTGCGTGAGGGAGCAGAGGTGGGCGCAGGCCCAGGCGTGGCTCAGCGAGCCTGGGGCCGTGAGGGCAGAGAAAGACACCAGGAGAACTCCGTTCCATGCAAACTGGCACTGCTTGCAGGCTACAAAGGACTCTCTGTACCAGTTCCATCCTGTGGCATGTAGAGAGCGCCTAAGGGGTGACTTGCCAGCCTGGTTGTGGGGATCCCCCATTCCCAGTTTCTCCTACTGCCCCGGCACGGAGGGGCAAAAACAAACCCAAAGAGGGAAAAAAACCCCAAACCCAAACAAATCCCAAGATTGCTTTTGCATATGCTTCCAGGAAAACAGACCTCATTGTTTCTGCCTCTTCCTCATGTTTTGCCCTTCAGGTTTTGTTTTACGTGCAAACAGACCTGGTGAGTTGCCCCTTAGCAAGGCACAGAGGGTTTGGCTGGATTAACGTTGCTTCCCTGATTATTATTATTATTTTTTTTAATCGGAGTGCTTTTGGTGCCCATTACAACTGAACTGAGCATTGATCAATTCTGTGCCTGAAAATCATTTGTCTTTAATTTGAGTGTTTTTTGGTTTCTCTTTTGTTGGGTTTTCTGATTTGTTTTTTCAGTTTTTTTGTTTTTTGATTTGAACTTGCAATACAAAACTAAATCTAACCCTAAATTAACAACACCCTTTCTGGCAAGTTTAAAGAGCAGTATGGTGTTTGGAAATGTCTTTTCAAGCCTCAAAATTGCCTGCGTGCACAAAACTGGCAAAACCCCCAAAACTGAATCCAAAGAGCCCCCGTCCCACCCCAGCCCTGAGGTCTCAAGGAGGAAGGTGGGTTTGTCACCGGCCCCTCTCACATCTGCACCAAGCCTGGTCTGGGAACGGGGGGTTTCTGTAGAGTCATCTCCATCCAGAGCTGGTTTTGGAAGGGACATCCTGGGTTTGCCACTCCATCAGCAATGGTAGTGAATTGTATCCAGGAGCAGTGGAGTCCGATCGATCTTGCGCTGCAGTGTACGGGCCCGATTCATTACAAGAAAAATGGCTGGGGTTTTTTCCTTCTTTCCTTTTCGGTTGGGTTTTTGTTTTCCCTTCACAAATTCGCACAGCCCTCCTTCACGTGTGCCTGGTCCAAAGCACAGAGCACAGCACAGCTGGCCCTAACTGGCCCCTTTCTGCCAGGAAATGGGAAAGAGCTGGCAAACACCCGGGCAGGCGCATCCCACCATCCCCAGCTCACTGGGAGAGCTCTGCCCAGGGCTGCTGGAGCGCAGCACAGAGCAAGCACTGGCCAGGAGGTTCCTGGAAGGCATTGATGGCAGTCCATGTCATCAATGTCCCCGTCCCTGCTGCCTCTTCAGCAGCTCTCTGGCCCCATCCCGCCGGCTCTTCCCCACCTTCCTGGCATCAGTGCCAGCACAGAGACTGAGCACCCTCAGAGAGCATCCACCTTCAGTGCGTGTCTTGTTCTCCCCAGGAAGCTGCAGCCCTCTCACTCCAAGCCCCTGGGCACTGACCACCTTGCTGTGACCCCGGGGTGACATTCCTGTTCTTGGGACACCTGCATGTTTGCTGAGTCAGCAGGGAGCCTGCTCAGGGCCTCCTCCCTGCCCTCACCCCTTCTTTTTCTATGGCAGCGTGTCACCAGCTGGCCTTGCTAGATAAACAGGTTCTTCTGTGCCACGGCAGGTCTGTCCTAGAGCCAGCAGACAGGGCCGTGTCCCTGTGCCCGTGCTCAGTGCCACCATAAATTCCCGTCCCGCGTGGCTGCTCGCGTGCCGGCAGGGTGAGCGCGGCCGTGCTGCTCGGCATCAATCACGTCCCTGTTTGACATCCCAGTGATGAGGGGACAGCTGAGGTCCTTCCAGCAGACACAGCTCTGGCCACATCCATTCGCTCCGGGTGGGGCTGTGCTGCCGAATCCCTCCGCTGGTTTTGACAACCTCACCCATTCTTGTATTTTTTTAATGAATTGGGACCTGGGCCACGGAAAACGAGCAAAGTTAAAAGTCTGAATGCTGCAAACTCCTCCTAGACAACTTCACTATCAGTGTCACATTTCTTTTGAATCCACCTGACATTTTACGTGTAAAACATTTTTGTCGTGTAAATGCTTTTTTTGAAATACAGTCATGGGGGGGGCACATTTTCCTCTTGCATTTGACATGGGAGGGGTTCATCTGGCAGGAGAGCGAGACAAGGAAAATTTGGCAGGTGAGGGTTTTCGTTCCTTCCTCTTTGGTTCATTGACAAGCCTGAGATTTTTCCAGTTCCCAACCTGTTGCTACCAGCTGTTCCTCCCTGAGGACTGGAGATAAAACCCCTAAGGCACAGGAGTGCAGCCCTGTCCCAGCTCCCTCTGGCAGGCTGTGGCACCGAGCCAGCTGGTGGCACTCGGCGCAGCGGGACAGCGCAGTGCCACGGCGCCCGGGGCTGCTCCCCACCCCAACCCCTGGCACATCTGGATTTTGGGCCCCAGTCCCGGCTTGCCAGTGCTGCCTTTGAGCCCTGCGCCCCAACAACCCCTTACTGGACTTTATACTTGCCAGCTATAACAAATCTCGTAACGTGAGCTACTGACCTTGATGGTGAGTGTGAGCAGTTATGTTTTGTTGTTTTCTCTCTTGCTTGGTTGGGGCTGCTGTGAGAGAGGGTGTCTCTGAGGCAAACTTTCCGGCCTCTCTTACACTCGGACGTGCACACCTCCTCTCAAACACTCTTCTGAGCGCTCTCAGCGGGAAGGTTTGTCCACACCTATTAATCCTCTCTCAGTGTCCAGCTTCTTGTTAGTAGCAGCTGGTTGCATGTTTTTTGCTTGTTCGGACGAAACGGTTCAAGAAACGACTCATATCAACTCTTGAGAAATGTCTCTATTTTTTTGTACACTTTCTTTCTTTTGATGTTTTTTATTAATTTCCCTTACTTAAAAAACAAAACACCTGTCGTCCCGTAAAACATTTCACATCTCCCCTTGCCTGTTCTTAGAGTGTATGTATCTGTGGGACTGAACTAAATGCATGCACTGTAGTAGTCGTACTGGTAGCAGTAGATGTAGTTGTAGAACATGCATTGTCGAGTTGATATTATAGGCACCATCAACGCGAACGAGCGTGGCAGATAAAAGCAGAGCCTTGGTCTGATTGAAAGCGTAGGGATAACACAGCAGAGAGCTGCTGATGGCTTGGATCCATAGAGCCCTATTCGTTAAATCCCATTATCTGGAAGTTTAAATTGAAGCCGGCTGTAGGCAACCTATACCCTCTGTACAAGAACCCGCACATGCTCTTATGCTGATAGTAAAACTGACCTTTTTTTTAAATTCAAATTAACCCCCCTAGGAACTGAAACACTGACTATAACTGTATTCTCTTATTTTTATTTTGTATCCAAAAGAACCTGAGATATTTTTCAAATCATTTTACAATCATGGTTTCTCCATCAGCCTGTTACTCGTCCATATTAGCCCATAGACTCATTCGTTGGCGGTCGTAGACCAGATGTGCCACACGCAAATCACTCCATTTGGGAATCCAATAATTCCGTGTGTGAGGCGGCTCCCTGCAGCCTGTCCTGAGCCACCAAGCGATTGTTTGTAGGTCATAAACCTTAAATCTTATTATGCAACAGAGACGCCGAGCTAGTGATGGGTCGTACTCATTGCCATGTCACCCAGCTTAAGGGCACGTTTTTAAATGAAGATTTAACATTTTATAAATATCAGCATGAGGAGTTCGAGGCAAGTTCATCCTCTGTGCCACGAGCCAGCAGTGGCTTTGCTTCTCCTGCCTGGGTTTCTGTGCTAAACTTGGAAAATGCAGAGACGGCGCTGCAGTCAGTAAATCCAACAGATGGTAATTGAGATCCCGAATTAGGCTTTGCTTTATTTGTTGTTTAGTTTGCTGCTTGTCAGAAAACACCCTGATGGGAGCAGAAAAGCTCCTCTCTGGTGTGGTCACCCCTCTCCTCCTCCCCACGCCCTGGCCATCCCCAAAGCCAGCTGTGCTGGGTGGGAGCCTCTCCCTGCTCTGCTGGGCAGAGCCACGCACTCATTAATGCCCTTCAGGCAGCAAGGGCTTTCAAAGGAAATAAAATATCCAGAATGGGCTTTCCAGTGTAATTAAGGATTTGTATCTGCTCCCTACCTCTAATAGAACATTGAGTAAATCAAGCAAACAAGTGCTGGGGCTGACACGGTGCAAGGTGAGCTGAGCTGGCCCTGGTGCTGCCAGGGAGCTGAACACCCGTGTGCCAAGGCAGGGATGAGGTTCCCTTTGGATGTCAGTTTTCCAGGGAAATGGGGAGCCCATTGTTCATTGCAGCCCAGCACCTGTTGAAGTCAGGAGTGTGCCTGAAACTCAACAGAGAGATAAATTGCATGGGGTCGAGGAAACCTTGTCTGACACCTAAGGAAGGTGCTCCAAAATCTGATCTACTCATCGTTTAGCAAATTATGGCCATAAAAAGGGTGACAGTGGTTGGGCTGTGTGTGCAGGGGGAGAGGAGCTGCCGTGGGCTCATGGAGATGTCAGGAGGAGCATTTCAAAGATCCAGCCATGAACCAATTTGGGATTTCTGTGCCCCTCTGGGAGGACTCCCTTGTGGCACGGTGGCTCTGGTGGAATTGTTCTCCCTTTTTTATTTTCCTCTTATTAAAGTACATAAAGTTTAATCCAGGCTATGTAATCTCAAAAGCCACAACCTAACAAGTGGACCACTTGGGAGCAGCAAGGGCTGGAATTTCTCACTCCACTGGAACGCCAGTAATTGTGTGACGGAGCCTGGCGGGTGATGCTCTGGGAAATTAATGCTGCATTGGATTTTATCCTTTGCTTATCTCCCTGGCAGAGCAGCGCCTGCTGGGGAGCACGGCGGGTGGCCAGGCAGGGCCCCCACACGGGGGGCTTTGGGGAGGGGTGGGAGCAAGGGAAATCATCCTGGTTTGAACGGGAATGCCATCAGCAGGCTCGGCACGCAGCAGCCCCAGGTGGTGAATGTGCTCTGGAGGAGCCACTCCACGTTCCCATGGGTGGTTCTGGCCTTGTTTCTGACATACTGGGAGCCCTGCAGTTACTTGCCTGTCTGCTACCCCAATTTATAAAATAATAATAATAAAAGAGGCGTCTTTTCTGTTTGGCTCAGAAGTGCTGTGCTGCTCCAGCATAGGAATCCCAAAGGTCCTTTTCAGAGCAGGCTCCAGGCAGAAGAAACCCTGGGTCTTGTTTTACTGTAGGATGCCACTTTTGGATCTTTTTTAATCCATGGGGGACTGAGCTTCTTCCTGCAGTGCCAGGGAGAAAATTCAGTGGATATGAAACAATTTGGTGCTGCTGCTGCTTGACCTTGGCCACAGCAGCCAGTGTTTGACAGGGCACTGGGCTGAAGTCTATTGAGGTTAAAATACATCAGCTTTAATCAATAATTTTGTAATAGAAAATCTTGTGCGCTTGATAAATCATCTCCAGTGCAATTAGTGACCACCTCTGAAGTGCAGTTGAAGTTAATCTGTAGCAAATTTAGCCGGTAACTTTTAATAGTCTTTTCCATCAGGAGAATTATTTTCCACGGGAAAATGCTCCTCAGAATGCTCATCATGCTGTTTTATTTAGGGAGAAATTCTTCTCTCTGAGGGTGGGGAGGCACAGGTTGTTCACAGAGGCTGTGGCTGCCCCATCCCTGGAAGTGACCAGAGCTGGAGCAGCCTGGATGGTAGAGGGTGTCCCTGCATGTGCAGGGGGTTGGAACCACTTTGGTACCCTCCACAGCCCTGCCACAGCCAATTATCCATGTTTGTTCCCTTTCTCCCAGCGGAAGCTGAGGGACAGAGCTGTTGGCAGTTGTAATTAGACTTTGTTCCCTGCAAGATGCAGACAAGTTGTTGCAGAGCTCGAAGTGGGGTTTCAGCACGTGCTCTCCAGGGCATGAGATCTTCCAGCACAGGATGGTGTCCTGTGCATTTTAATCCCTGAACAGGTAAAATGCTGCCAGGGCTGAGGGTAACTTGCCTCTCCAGCAGCACTTGCAGGCTGTTACCCATTAGTGGAACAACTGCTAACTGTGAGGCAGCGCACATTGGACTGACACACTACTGTCAGTATTTTCATGCTGATTCTCTCCCCAAATGCTTTAAAAGTAAATACATAATTACAGCGATGTTTTTTCTCCCTCTCTTCTCTCTGAAATAGAAGGCTGCCAGAGGAGCAGAGTAGTTTTTCCTTGCAGCAGATGTTGGTGTGCATCTGGCTCCGTGTGAGCTCAAGAAGCACGGTGGGTTAGGAGTTGCCAGAGAGTGCAAAATGGATCTGCAGGTATATAAACCTGAGCTGCTTAAAAATAATAAACTCACGCAGCTGGGGCCTTTGTGAGCATTTCCTGATGGTTAGAAGAGCCCAGCACTCTGTGCCCTGACCCTGACTGGGTGTCAGCTGCCCACAGTGTGGCTGGTGCCACCAGCTCTCCCCCAGGCACCGTGTGCTGGGCAGCAGCTTGCTGGTGCAGAGCCTCCCACAGGAGGGATGGCTGCACAGGACTGGGGTCTGCAGGCTGGATGCCTCTTCTGTTACCTGAATAACCTGAATAGCCCCCCTGTGCTCCTGAGCATCCCCCAGCCCGTGGGATCAGCAGTGGGAAGGTGCCCCCCAGGCAAGGCCCTCCTGCCGCTATGACTTGAATTATGCAGCAAAACAAAGAACCGGTTTTGGTTTAATTTTCCTCCTGTATTGTCTGTTATTGTACAAAAGGCTTCAATTTCAAATTACAGGAGTGATAGCCAGTTAATGTGGTACAGTGGGAGGCCGGAGTTGCTGTTGCTATGGCAATGGAGTTCGGCTCATTTGTTTTGTAGATGAGTAATTACTACGCAATTAGAGTAGGCTAAAAATAAAGGGGCCTTTTGTTCCCTCTTACTCATTAATATTAATAAAAGACCTGTCCGGGCTGTGGTAAACAATTAATGCAGATGTGGTTGCCCATGGTAGAATTAACAGCAGCTCTCCTGCTCCTCCTTGGCGCGAGGTGAAGGCGCCAGCATCACCTGGCTCAGCTCTTCCTTCATTTTAAATGGAAAAGTGGTTACAGAGGGGTCTGTGATATCCCAGCACTGAGCTTTAGCTCTTATTTGCCAGTTGGATGGGTGGTAATAAGTGTTAAGGCTTGGTGTGCAGGCACAGGCAGCAGGAGCAGCGCTGGGGTCGGCGCCTGCGGCACCGCGAGCGCCCGCAGCCGCCCAGGGCCCCGGCAGGAACCCGGCAGCAGCAGCAGCAGCTCCTGGTGCTGACAGATCCTCATTCATCCCCCCTGGACCAATGCCAGGGCTGGAGCAAGAGACTTGCCCAGAAACCTGAGCACAGGCAAGGACAGGCGGGTGCTGCTGAAATGAGTCCAGCACGGAGTGTTACAAACACAGATCGACAGAAAAGAGTGCAAGGAGCAGTCCCAGGCGTTTGATGTGAAGTAAAAAGATGGCAGTACCCTTAGCCTGGATATTTGGATGAAATTCTCCTCTAGGAGCGTGCGGAGGCCCTGGCACAGAGTGCCCAGAGAGGCTGTGGCTGCCCCTGGATCCCTGGCAGTGGCCAGGCCAGGCTGGACAGGGCTTGGAGCGGCCTGGGACAGTGGAAGGTGTCCCTGCCCATGGCACTGGATGGGCTTTAAGGTCTCATCCAAACCATTCTGTCATTCTGTGAGGTATGTAAACATTAATTACATCACATTCTAAATTAGCTGTAAAACCAGTTAAATTGGCA